CATTCGTTCGTTTGTTCATTCGTTCCTTCTTCTGAAAAATTCTCATCAATTTCCTTTTGAGTAAAGAATCACCCATCCTCCATGAGTTGGATGGTCCAGAATGGTTTTGTTCCACATGGAACCTTCAGATCCGCTCATTTTTCTTCCCTTTCTCTCTTTCTGACTGATGTCTCTCTGTTTCTTGGTCTTCTTGAAATGATCTATACACATTCTCTTTTGACATGTGAGAAAAATTAACTGGTACCATAGCACTGCATTTTATTATTTATAATGTTTTACACAGCCAACTATAATGGTTAAATAAATATCCTAAAAACTAATTTGTTCTGCCATGCTTGGATGACAGACAACAGAATATATCAAAGAAATTAGTCAGACTTTTATAAATGCACTTAACAGGAATCAATGGATGGTTACACACAATCATATTCTGTAAATTTCTAGTAGTTTTATAAATTACCCAGAGTGAATGTATAAAACCTGCTCCCAAGATTTTCCAATAATACAGAGCTTTGTCCCAGGATTACATGCAGGCCATTCAAGATCTTACATTGTTTTCCTGCAATATCCCTTTTCTCCCCTCCTGCTTGGATGATTTTTAAGGGGAGATTGTGTCAATGCTGAACCAGATGTTTTCCAATACTGCAGCTTTATTACAGGTAGTCCTTGACTTATGACCATAATTGAATCCAAAATTTTCATTGCTAAGCAAGGCAGTTGTTAAGTGAGTTGTACCTCATGACCTTTTCTGCCATGGTTGTGAAGCGAATCTGGCTTCCCCCATTGACTTTGTTGTTGGAAGCCAGCTGGGAAGGTCACAAAGGGTGATCAAATGACCCCAGGATGCTGCAACCATCATAAATATATGCCAGTTTCCAAGCAGAGGTGGTATTCAGCAGATTCTGACCAGTTCTGGAGAACCGGTACCTGAAATTTTGAGTAGTTCGGAGAACCGGCAAATCCCACCGCTGACTGGAGATTTTACAGTGTCCTTCCCCTGCCACGCCCACCAAGCCACGCCCACAGAACCGGTAGTAAAAATTTTTTGAATCCCATCACTGTTTCCAAGTGCCCAAATTTTGATCACACGACCATGGGGATGTTGCAATGGTCGTAAATGTGAAAAACAGTAAGTGTCACTTTTTTCAGTGCCGTTGTAACTTTGAACAATCACTAAATGAATGGTCGTAAGTCAAGGACTACCTGCAGTCTTCTTAATGGAAGTGATGAATGGCTCAAGGGATACAACACACCCTGAAATTGGAGATGAGCATGACATTGGTAAGAGAGATTATGTCACGTGCCCAGAAAATCAGGAAATCCAGGCAGTTCAAATGAATATGAAGATTTATTGCAAGGTAAAGCAACAAGAACCTGAACTACTAATAGTCAAAGGAAATTGGCGGTAGATAAGAATCAAAGGAATTCAAAGAAGTGAGACAAAAATGTTAATTGAAACAACCCTTAAGAAAGTAAAATAAAATTTTGTAAACTATAAAAAGATATAAGAATAATTATAGCTAAAGATATTATTTAATAGCAAACGCAATATAATGTATTATGATATTTAAACCAAAATCTTGTATAGATGCCAAGAACGTTGTTGATACCATGATGTAAAAAAGAAAAAAGAAAATTAATAAAAATATATTTAAAAAAAAAGAATCAAAGGGATTCAAGGTGGGCTGGACTTAGATCTCTTGCGGGTGCGAAGGAGTTCATGACTAAGGATGCATTAGTCCCCTCTCTCAGGTTCAGCCTGATCATCTTCTACATCATACAACAGAAAAACAAAGAGATTGTTTTATCCAGCGCAAAGGCCACCATAAATTCCTTGCCAAACAAAAATATAGAAAGAAAGGAATAGCAAGCAAGAACACGTTAGTTTTTATATACTTCAAAGACACACATATAAGGAGCTAGACTTGCATTTTCATTTTGAATTTTCTGTTCACAAGGTTCACAGTTGCAGGAATTACATGGCCCCAGTGATTATTATAGCCTATATTTATAGTGCCATAGGTATAAAAACGTGACCAATCATTTTGGGGATCTAGTCCCTAACATTCCTACCTAAAGCAGAAATAGTTTATTAATGTCTGTACTAGATGATCTTTATTTTTATTTCTTTGTTACTGTAGATTTATTTATTAGACTGTAAACATTCATATACTCCTTCCTCCTCTTTTCTCATAACAACAACTTTGGTCAATTCTAGCTCTGATTCTGGAATTCATTTTTCTAATTATCAACTACATCATTTAGGTCATATTCTGAAAAGCTCATAATTTGCTATGCGGTCTATGCTTGCCTTTCTACCACAACGCCATTCTCTAAAGCATATGAAATACTCCGAAAGCTTGTTATTTCATCAGGCTGCAGTCTGTATGCCTCTTTTTTCCTTGCAAAAGTGCCTGTTAACCACTCCTTTACGTCCATAGGTACTGAATCCCACCGGATACTAGAAAGTTCATCCTCAGTGTCCAAAAGGCTCCTGCAAAAATCCAAGTTTTTATATATGTATCTTTCTATTCATTCATTCATTTAAATTATGTACATCTCAAGGGGCTAAGAGAAAGAAATAGCCTTTGCAAATAGCAACCACATGGATGCATAAATGACTACCATGAGCAATGGGGAGTTCAGCCTTTTAAATCCTTGCCATAGTTCCAGAGAAAATTTTCACTCTCCCAAAAGTTGCTACATAAACTGAGATTGTTTTCCTAATGCAAGCAGAAGTTCAGGGTAAGATGATCTTTGCAACAGCAAGGGACACCAGAGCAAACTCCTTGTCTGCCTATTGTGTTTTCCAAGCATGTGAACATATATTGTATTTTCCAAGCATGTGAGCCCTAATTTAATAACATCCTTCAATCTGGATTGCAGTGAAAGGAGATGGGGCTTCCTTTAGGCCCCCCTACTGAATTAGATGCAGTCTCAAAGTGGCAAATGCCCAAGAAAGGTGAAGTCCAACAGTAACCAGGGATGCTTCCCTCTCCTTGGGTCAATGTAAAGATATACTTACAAAAGAGTGGTAGAAAGTTTCTTTTTGGTCCTTTGATCACAGGTTTTTGTTTTAGCTTGATTACTATTAGTTTTGATGCCAATCTTCTCTTTTTTATCCTGTGTCATATCTGCAGCTGTTTTTGTTTTGTCTACAACCCTTATTGAAGTAATTTCCTACATTTATAGCTAATAAAGTACCTTCCTACTCCTATATGCATATCATTATTATACATTCTCAATGGATATAAGTTCAAGAAAAATGTCATGCTTTCCTACAGAAGCATTGTGACATCATTCTAATGTAACCATTAACAACGATTGTGCAACCCCTGTGAACCAACTGCACAGTATTTCTTCCCCATGGAAAGCGATATGAAGAGTATAATCTTCTGGTGTTTTTTAGTCCCACTTTTTCACTTAGTTTAAATGTCCTGCGCAAGAATTTAGGGCAATAACAGCCATAGCAATGAACACATCAAGACTAGTGAATGGGTGATGGTGATAGCAACGATGAGATACTGCACTCAGTATTTCCAATAATGGATTTACAGTCATTAAAGCCACATGCTCATCTATGGCACTAGCCGAAAACTAGGAAAACACAGGTTTTTTTAAAAGAAATGTTTGTACTTTCGTTGGTCTTTACATTATGCTTAGTTATGAAGCTAGAATATATAGTATTTACCCCAAAGGAAGGGAACCTGTAATTTAAACTGACCTCCCCTCTTCCATAAAGATAGAATAGAGAAAATAATTACCAACATTTATTTATTTGTCAACCGCTTACAAGATAATAGGTATAAGTATAAACATAGTTATGAATACATGAAATGGATACATATAAGAAAAATAAAAAGGAACAATAGGACAGGGACGGTAGGCACATTGGTGCGCTTATGCTGAATATATTACCTAGTCTGGTAAAGAAATACCTGCAGATTAACAAGGAAGCAAAGTCAGAGAGCACCCAAGACTCAACTATAGAGCTACAAATAATCTACTCTCTTAATTATCAATACAGTCCAAAGTCTTGTGCACAGCTAGCTTTTCTATCTTATCAACCAAAGGAGGCTAACACCAGCTAAAACCAATCTTGAAATCCTCAGCCCCTCAATTAATGTGTGCATATTGCAGTTATATGTGCGTATATATCTGTCAGAAGACCCCTCCCACCAAAAAATAAAGTTGAAATGTTTACTCATTTTTAACTTACTACCTGCTCAAATTTTGAGCACAAGATGTTCACAGCTCACTTGAGGAGACTTTAAGGCTGGGAGAAATGAAATGGAAGAAGAGGATAATCAGCAGAGACTGGATGGACTCAATTACAGTGACAACGGGTGCACCATTGGAAGCCTTGAAAAGTCAAGTTGGGAGATTAATTGCCTATAAATAAAGTATCCCAGAGTTCATTTAATATGTCATAAGCCATTTTATGAAGAATTCTATGTAATAAAATGTTCTATGAAATTTGCTAAATTTCAATTCCACTGAAGTCAGAGATCCCAGATTTTGGACACATTATGTAAGTTAGCCCATTTGAGGTACCTGAGTTGAAAACGCCTTGCTCTATGATGCAGCACTTCACCTTGTTAAAGGAACAAGAGTTTTAGTAGCAGAATTGTTGCTATATGATAACAATGACAGCTGAGGTGATTTAAAATACCTTAATGTAATGTAAGTAGGGAGAAAATGTCTAAGAAAAAAAATTGTCCGGGGCTGAAAATTTAAACTGTAAAAAAAATTTAAACTGTAAAGCTAGAAGAAAAAAAAAGGAAGAAAATTGTCTTTTTGAAATTCCTAACAAAATGGGAGTATGGGGGGGGGGAGGTGTAAGAGCAGAATGTGACTTTGCCCCCAGCACCAAAAAGCCACCCTGTATATGTATTTCATTTTCAGGATTCAATGCTTTATTTGA